CGACGACGCAGCCACCGCAGCCGACGGCCCAGCCGCCCCCGCCGCCGCCCCCACCGCCGCCGAGCCAGCCACCGCCTTCGCCTCCACCACCGCCGCCGACACAACCACCAGCATCGCCGCCTCCGCCGCCGCCGACGATCGAGCCACCACCGCCGCCGCCATCACCACCGCCATCAATACAGCCACCACCACCACCACCGACGACCCAGCCCCCGCCGCCGCCTCCACCGCCCCCAGAAAAACAGCCATCACCCCCGCGGACGCCTTTTTTGCCGCCACCACCCCCGAGCGAGGCACCGCCGCCGCCGCCGCCGACAGCATCACCACCACCACCCCCGCCAGTCGACCAAAAATCGGCGGCTTCGCCGCTGCCGCCTTCGCCTTCGCCTCCACCTCCACCACCATCTCAACAACATCAACATCAAGATCGACATCAGCAGCATCAACAACAGCAGCAAATCCCACTGCCGCCGCGGCGCGAGGCCAGCGCGCCGCTGCCGCCGCGCCCGTCGCCCCCGACCGCATGGACGCCGCCGCCGCCGCCCCGCGCGCCGTCGCCCGTGCGCGACCTCTCGCTGCCGCGCCGGCCCTCCTCGCCCGCCGCGTGGAAGACGCGCACGCACTCGCGCGAGCCGCGGCACCGCGCGCGCGCGGCGTCGCCCCCGCCCAGACAATCATCGCCCCCACACCACCACCACCACCCGCCCCAACACCGACACCCCTCCCCACAACACCGACACCCCTCCCCCCCACCGCACCGCGCGCCTTCCCCGCCACCCGCGCCAAAACACCCGCCGCCCGCGCGCCCCGCATGGCCCCCGCCGCCCGCGGCGCTCGCGCACGCGACGACGTACAAGGTCCTCTACGACCCCGCGCTCGACGCGCCGGCAGGCGCGAGCGCGTCCGCGTACCCGCCGCCGCTCGTGTACCCGCAGACGCGCAGCGGCGCGTACTACCGCCAGCTGATCGAGCACCTGCGCGCGCACGCGGAGCCGGGCGTCCTCGCGGACCGCGTGCGCGGGAAGGGCAGGGGGCGCGAGGTGCTCGTGCGCACGGCCGGGGGGGTGAGTGCGGTGGTGGGACCGGAGGGGTTCAGGGAGGATGTGCCGGTTGTGCGGGACCCGAGGGGGGAGAGGGGCGTGCGGCGCCCGGTGGTGTTGCGTGGGGGAAGGGCGGAGTTCGTGCTCGTTCCCGAGTACACGGTGCGTTTCTTCTTCCTCCTATTGTGTGCTTGCGCGTGTGTGCTGACGCGCTGGAGGATAGTACGACGAGAACTCCACCGGCCCGCCCCCGCCCACCGCCGTGCTCGTCACCGGCATCTCGCCGCTCACGCCCACCGCCGCCCTGCGCCGCGCCTTCTCCTCTTACGGCGCGCTCCTCGCCTTCGAGCCGCAGATCGACCCCGCCACCGGCTCCGCGCTCGGCGTCCTCCACCTCAAATACCCGTCCCACGCGGAGGCGAAGCGGTGCGTCGAGCGCGAGCATGGGCGCCGCGGCGGGCTGCTGCGCACGGCGGGGGTGCATATTACTGGCGGCGGGGCGGGGGAGGAGGAGTGGCGCGTGGTGTTTGATGGGGATGGGGGAAGGCTGCGGGGCGTGTTGAGGGAGGTGGAGGAGCGGAAGAAGAGGGAGAGGGAGGAGAAGAGACGGGGGGCGATGACGCCTGCGACGGGCACTGCTAGTACGAGCGCGCGCGATGCGTCGGGGACGCCGTATGGGGATAGCCCGGCGCCGGCGCGTAAGCCCGCCCCCGCCGCGGGAGGCGCGAACGCACCCGCGGGCTCAAGCGCGAGTTCGAGCACGAAGACGCCAGCGACGACGGCGCCGGCGCTCCCCGCCCCGCCGAGCACGCTGCCCGCGAAGCCCGCGCTGCCGCCCAAGCCCACAGCGGACGGCGCGAAGGGCCCCGAGGCGCCGACGCCCGACGAGGCGGCGCTCGCGCTCGAGCGCGCGCGGGCCGTCGCGCGGCTGCGCACGCAGCGCCGGCCGCGCGGGCCCGCCTCCACTGCGGGTGTCGGCGCTGTGGGTTCTGGCGCGGCGGGGGTGAGGGGCCGCCCGCTGGTGAAGTACGACGCGTTCGCGGACGAGGGCGCGGGTGTGCGCTCGCGGTCCGCGTCGCCCGCGGTGGGGGGTGGGGGGCGCGCAGGGAAGAGCGCAGAGGAGAGGTTACGGGACAGAGAGGCGGTGCTCCGCGCGCTGGCGCAGAACGGGTTCGACCATGTGCAGGTGCAGGGCAGCGCGCAGCTGGTGGCGGGCGTGCAGGAGGCGGACGTGCGCGCGTTCTTTGATGGGTTCGTGGTGGACCAGGTGCGTTTGGGTCTTTGTTAAGGGGTTTCTTTGTCTGTGGTCTTTCATGGGTGGGGTGTATACATACCCCCCTCTGCCGCCTGCTTCATCTTCATCTTACCGCACCGGTGCGCTAACGAACGACGGGACAGGTCCTGCGCGACCACGCCGCATTATACATCACCTTCCCCAAAGCCGGCCCCGCGCACCGCGCCACCGCCCTCCTCGGGTCCAAGCAGCTGGCCATGCAGTCCGTCACCCTCACCGTGCACCCCCCTCCCCTACCCCCCCGCGCTGCCGCGCCCACCGCGTGGACCCAAGAAGCGCTCGCCGCCGCTGCGCAGGCCGCGCTGATTGCGGAGCTGCGCGCGCGGTTGGCGCGGGATGTGGCGGAGCGCTTGCTTGGGCATGAGCTGAAGCGGCTGGTGGTGGAGGCTAGGGGCGTGTGGGACACGCGCGGGGTGGGGGTGGGTGTGGGGGCCGGGACGAAGGAGAGGAAGGGGCTGAAGGGGCTGTCGTTCAGGAAGAAGGCGGCGGAGAAGGCGGCGGAGAAGGCGGAGGAGAGGGAGGTCGTCGCTCAGGAGGAGGAAGAGGTGGAGGAGGAGGTGGGCGCGCGCCCTGTGAAGCGCCGGCGGGTCGTCGCGCCGGAAGAGGAGGAGGAGGAGGAGGAGCCGGGCGTGGAGTCGGAGGACGAGGACGCAGCGGACGTCGCACGTGCGCTTGCGCTCGCCGCCGCCGCGCTCGACCGCAAGCGCACAGCGTCGGCGGAGCGCGAGGACGAGGGCCCCGCGCGGAAGAAGCTCAAGGCGCCAGAGAAGGTCGTCAAGCCCAAGCCCGCGAAGAAGGGGCGCAGGGGCGCCGCCCGCGTCGTCGAGGTGCGCGTCGTGCCCGAGGAGGAGGAGGCCGTGCCCTCGCGCTCGCCGACGCCCGTGCGCGCGCCGTCGCCCCCGCTCGACCCGCTTGCTTCAGGACTCTGCGCGGACGACGAGGACGTGTACTTCGCGCGGCTCGCGCTCGCCGGCGGGGCGCCGCCTGCGCCGGAGCCACAAACGGCGGCGGTACAGGCGGAGGGGCCCGCGTTCCGCACGCACGCGACGGGCAGCGCGCGCACGGAGGGCTTCTACCGCATCACGCACGCCGAAAAGGCCGCGTACGTCGCGCAGTACCAGGCGCGCGCCGCGACCGCCCCCGCGCCCGCGGTCGACGCCGCGCCCGCGCAGCACGTCGCGTCGTCGCGCTCGAACCGCGCGACGGCGCGGCGCCGCGCGCAGGGCCTCGAGGAGATGAACCAGGTGCAGCGCGCGGTCGCGCTGTCGCGCGGGGACGGCGGCGCGGGCGAGCTGTCGTTCAAGTTCAACCAGCTGCAGACGCGCAAGAAGCACCTGCGCTTCGCGCGCTCGCCGATCCACGACTGGGGGCTGTACGCGATGGAGCGCGTCGCGCGCGGGGAGATGGTGATCGAGTACGTCGGCGAGGTCGTGCGCGCGCAGGTCGCGGACAAGCGCGAGAAGGCGTATGAGCGCCAGGGCATCGGGAGCAGCTACCTGTTCCGCATCGACGAGGACCTCGTCGTCGACGCGACGAAGAAGGGGAATCTGGGGTGCGTGCGGCGGCTTTTTTCTTTGTGTGTTGCTCACTTACCTTGCGCGCAGGCGGCTGATCAACCACTCGTGCGACCCGAACTGCACCGCCAAGATCATCACGATCAGCGGCGAGAAGAAGATCGTCATCTACGCCAAGCAGGACATCGAGCTCGGGGACGAGATCACCTACGGTACGCCGCTCCCCCGCCGCCCGCCCGCGCGCCCACTGACGCCGTGCCCGCGCAGACTACCACTTCCCCTTCGAGCAGGACAAGATCCCGTGCCTCTGCGGCTCCGCCAAGTGCCGCGGATTCCTGAACTAGCCGCTATACTTATTGCCATATCGTCGTGTATACCCACCCACCGCACCCACCCCGTCCGCGCTGCTTGCTGCATGCACACTCGCGCTATGTATTGTTGTTTTTCTTTTTACTTGTTTTCTTCCAATCATATTCGGCATATTCATTGCGCATTTTTGACACGCGAGTGTGGGCTCGGGCATTGCGCATTTTTGACAGGCGATTGTAGGCTCGGGCATTTCATCTTCCGGACGGTGTCGGGAGCCCGCGGATGATGCTCCACGAGCGCCAATGCGAGGCGCGCCGTTTAACAGCGACACTTCGCGTGGGTCGGGTGGACGCGGACGCGGGCAGCGACGTCGGTTCCCGCCCGCTTCATCCCCTCGCATCCCCTTGGCTGGGGCTAGGGAGGCGCGGCGCGGCTGCAGCCCTGCCCGTAAATACGCGTGTCAATGTGCGATCCCAGCTAATCCTACTACACGTGTGGCACCCTGCTATTCATAGCAGACGGCCAGCACGGCCATAAATAACAGCGTTGGCCCCGCCTATGTCTGGCCTGGGAACGCAGCGCCGCAAGCGCCCGTGACCGCAAAAAAACGAGAGGAAGCCATCTCGCGGCGCAGGGCGGGCGGTGGGTGTGCGTGGTGGCGGGGAGGTAGGCCGCCTCGTTCCCAGTGGGCACAGGCAGGTGTGAACCGCGCCCCCAAAGTAGGCGGTCTGACACGATCACCGGCAGGATGGAACTCCCGGAAGGACGCGTTTCCCCAGAGGCGCAAGTTGGGACTCAGCACGCGCGGAGGCGATCTGGTGGGCGGGCGGCGCAAAAAGGCAGCTGCCCCAGAGAGGCTCGAACTCTCGATCTCCCGATGGCGCGCCTCTTGCGAGTCGGTAACAGTCGGACGCCTTAGCCAACTGGGCCATGGGGCACTGGTGACGGCGGTGCCGCCGTGCGCGCCTCGGCGGGGGGCAGCACGCCTGTGAACGCCCCAGGGATGCAGATCAGCGATCTATCAGATTACTTATAGCGGGAAGCCTCCCCACATGAACCTGAGTGTCACGCAGCATTGGAAGTCGCGCCCTGACGAATGCGGGATGACATGCAACATATCATTCGCGCCAATTCCATGTCGCTGGTTTGACAAGGTAATTATATCAGAACGTGCAGGGAGATTTGCGCAGGTATTCCTGTAAAATTAGTATTTTTATGTCATAAACAAGTGGTAAATAATGTTCCCGGCACTGCTTAAATGGTCTTCTTTACCATTGTGCTCAAATTGAGCGCAGAACTTTTTTTGAGAACCTTCTCACGTTGGCTTCTGAAAGAATGGAAGATAGAACGCTGCCTTTCTATCGCAGTCGGAGACTATAAAAAATTCAATATCAGAGCGCGCTGGAAAATCGTGTTTTCGTGCAGGTCGCCTGACGAAATATCAGACCGAGGACCCATCGGTTCACGTAATTGTCATGCCTGGCTGACAATAGCAGGCTTACCGGGATCTCCCCCCAAACTGGATCACAGCCCAGGGGCGATCAATTCGAGTGGTACGAGGAGAGAAGAGGCCTGAAATACACCGGGACGAGAAGTCGGGATAAATCCAGGATGTGCGCTACTGTGGGCAGTTTCCGGACCTCGATCTCCCTCCACTCTGGGAAGGCAGCCTCCACACATAATCCCGAGATATGGTGGAAACCCAGGCCCCACGCTGTGAGCAGCGATTCTGTGCTGTATCGGAGCACTGCGGTCGGGTGCGACGTGCCCGCCCGGGGCGAGTGTAAGCACAGTTTCAATCGCCATTCGAATGTTCGTCCCACGGGAGATTACAAGCGCTGTCATGCGCACCAGATTGTCACCAGAATGATACCAAATAATCACAGAAATCTGGACACAGAAGTCGACGGCGAACTTGCACCTGGGTCTTTAATTTTAGAGCCTTTAGTTGGATATCAGGTTCCGTCAGCTGACGGGAGAAGGAAACAATATAAATATTGCGCAGTGTGGATGCTCGTCACTCACTTATCGACCCCTCCATAACCGTTACAGTGATAGTCCCACTTTGGGAATTGTTCTAAAAACGACCGATCATGTATAACCATATATGGGGATGCTTGGCAAAGCTTTGGCGCTTTTTCAAGGTCCGCTCGCCTTTTTGCCGAGCCTGCCGATGGCTGTGCCAAGCTGACGGATTTAGTTCGCGAGCAAGTTGCAACTTGAACAACTCAAGATTCGTGCTGCAGGACACATTTAAAGTCTTAAGGGCTGACGAGTACTCTAAATAGAGGGCATGTACTATAAGTGCGGCCAGGATCATCGAAGTGATGTCATATGAAGTAAATTAATTGCTTATAAGGCGCAGACGTCGAATACCTGCGCGTTCCCGACCCCCCCAACACTTTCCCCAGAGAGATCGATCTCTAATCTCTAGAGCCGACCGAATTCTCAAGTGGCCCAGATGCCAATCCCTGGCACGTAAATAAAACCCACGCCTTGCACGTTCATCGAGCTACACACACCCTTACAGGCTGAGCAGGATCGAGCATTGCTGAGATAGGAAAGGAAATGGGTTCGTATCTCGGCTCAAAATCATGAGAGTTATTGAGAGGCAATAGAATCTCAAAACATCAGCGCCCAGACTAGAAGTTGCAGATGTTGCACTTGAAATAAATCCTCTCACCCGTTCGTTCCTCTAGGTAACTATACTGGAGATTCAATACCCTACAACATGTTTCCGTGTCCTTGACTTTGCTACAGTGTAAGAGGGCAAGACGATACCGCGCGTATGTCAGTCCAGGGTAAACTCATACAATACGCTCTCTCTGAGGATTGGAGATAGCCTGGCACTATAAATAGGCACATAGGTTACTTCATCCGCCTAAATATACGTGATCACATAGAGAGTGATGCATCAAGGAAGCTGATCACCAAATGATGCAGCTATTTGAAATTAAACCCATCTATAAGCACGAGAGTGGTCCAGAGTGAAATTCTGCCCCAAAGCCAAGTGGCGCAGAATTGAGTCGCTCTTCATTCAGCCAGAATCTGGGCTTTCGCCTGTTATGCAAATCTCTTACCACCCGCCTGCCTTGTTTTTTTCTCTGTTTATCGCGGATCGGGTTCGCGGCTCTGATGGAGCCATGCGATTGTTGGAGCCAGTGGGATCAAATTCGGCCCTGAGGAACGCCCTTGCTATCAAGCTCCCATCAGGGCATTGTCAGGGCACTGAAATAAATGATTATGAAACGATGTCAAGGTATCAAATGGCAGTTTGGTCCTTCTAATACATCCCGGCGAGGTGTATGTTATTGCCTGACATAGGCAGTTTCAAGATGCGCGGATGTGGGTGCTCACGAGAGCCTGTCTACGCTGTGGATAAGTGTACAATTACTTCTTAAAATCGACATCAAGTTTCACTGATATTCTAATTACAGTCATGGATTAAAAAGGGATGCGGGGGGAACATCGCACACGGGAGCACATCGTACAACTAACTGCATGGACTGCGATTTCATACATCATAGTCAATGTGTAGATTCTTTCATGCGTCATATATCAAAACCAGCAAGACACCCAACGTGTACAGCTTTCAATTTATCATATTAATAATTAAGGCGAGGGCTGTAGGGTAATACAATGTTGCACAAAGCAGATAGAACCGTCTATCAATCAGAGGGAGTGTGGATATACAGAATCAGAAACTTGTAAAACATGGAAGAACGCATGTTGGTATCATCGTAAAGATTAAAGAATGTCGAAGTTAGGAGTACACATGTCGTCACGACTGTAGCGTCATATTCTGCGTTTGGAGAGGTGCGCCGTTCATTACATCGAAGCCAGGGATCATTGTGTGATGGATACGTTTTCGAGGGGGCAGGCCCGACAGGTCCTGGGTAGTGTATTGGCGTTCCGAGCGATACGAGTCCATATAGTCCGGAGCGCCGACCGGCACATCGCAAGGATAGCCGTTCGAATCTAATATATACGTGAGATCACCAGCGGCGAGCTGCCGTGTTTCAAACGCACCATGAAGCTGGCCATGCTCCCATGTTCGAGAATGTTTTCTGTTGCGCCCACCGTCCTGTTGGAGTTCAATGCGTGATCCAATTGAGCACTGCACGACATACCTCCATGTGTGGCACGCCCTCGCCGTTGTACAAGCCTTGCCCATCCGTCGGCCACTCCATTGGTTTCTGTACGCGGGTGTTCATCGTGAAGGGATCAACAGGGTTTCGGACCTCCTATGCGATGATTCGTTAACATCGGGTTTCTGATACGACGCAACGCAGGGGTGAAACAAACCTCCATCGGATACCTCGGCGGACTGCGTCGATCGTCCCCGGATATTGACGACTTCCTTGACCGCGTGTCTACGGCAGCATGGGTGTGAGCACTGGGAATAGTAGACGAATGACACCGTGTATAACACACCTAAAGGGAGTTGGTTCTGGGACAGGAGCACGGCCACTGCTCGCGGTATGTCAGAATTAATGAAAAAGTCACGAGATGGCTATTAGCGTACTGATGTCGTCGCGTCGCTTTTCCGCACTCGCAACGGCCTGACGGGCTTGTCGTTCGATGTCGAGACATGAAGTGTAGCGCATGAAAGCGTCCGAAGTGTCTTTTGACGCTCGCATTAGCGAAGCACGTGCGGCCTGGAGTGCTTGTTCTGCTTGCGACTTGAGCAAATGGGAGCAGAGAATATTGGTAATCTTACTTGATGAGCTCGCCTCCGCCGAGAGACCTTCCGGGGTACGGAAAGACGGGGAGCCCGAATTTCTAGAACTCGAGAGGTGCGCACCCGGGTCATCTGCAGAGGGGCCAATAGATTGGTCAGCAATCGCCGGTGGGGAAAACTAAGACGCACCATTCAGCGGGCGGCCGGCCTGGTCTAGAAAACTTTGCTCTGACGGTTCAGGTGTAAAGGAGTCGTTAGAGTGGTCGCGGTGGGCGTATGACGGTTCGCCCCCGACTTGGTTTCGGAGGCGGGGATTGTGCGGGATGTTGGCGGCTTGCCGTTCGATAAATTTTCGGAGGAACGTCAGCTCGATGTCGTCTGGCATGACATACGGGGGGCCCTGAATATCGCCTTTTTGCATCAGCAACTCGAGGTGCGACATCGTCTTGTCCTTCAGCTGCTGGAGCCACTCGTGCAGTTCCATATGATCTTGATCCGCGCGGGCGTCGTAATCCTGACGTCTGCGGGCTTTGCGCCAGTAAGTTTTCGTCATCTTGAGGGCGCGGTTGACCTCATTGTCGAGCGAGCGGTACCAGTCGCTGGCTTGCCGATTTAACCGCACCGCGAGAACGCCAGGCTGGACCCGTAATTGCAACACACATCTGCCTTCCCTATCTGCTGGCCCCAAAACGCCCTTCTGACCCTGGTTGCCTCTGGTGGCACCGCGAGAGACATTGCCTAGTTCGGGCCAAGGCAAGTCGTCAGGCGTAGACATATCCAGCTTGAAAAGTGGGGAGGGGGAAAATGGAAAATTCTTGTTGGTAAGGTCGAAGAGAGAGAGCAACGAGCACGGTCATTAAATGGACCCACTAGATAGTCCTGCTCGGCATTTAACAGAAGGACTTCGGTGGCAGTATTATGAGATTGGTCTCCATCAGATCTGACACAAGACGAAACCACACACTCCCTAGTAACTCCATTAGATCCCCAAAAAGACGGTTTTCGTTCAAATTCTCAGGTCTACTTTGCACATGTGTTTTCGTTCCGATTATGATCAAAATAAATGAATCCCAACTTGGATTCTCCCCACTCCCCTAACCCATCACATCGTAACCTATGGGAAGATCTGGAACATAGCCTTACTTACATACCTATCAGAAGGCAGAAATAGGGTTATGGTAATGACAAAATTAGACGCATCGGATCAAGCGCTTGAGCAATGAGCTTTGTTGTACAGGGCATTTTATTACTGAATTT